ACAGTTTTTCTGGACTCCTTAGATCTCTGTAATACATTTAGTGGGAGCTTGAAAGATAGCTCTGTTAGAAATTGATGTTTAATTTTCTGTTTACAGTTAACAACATTTTTATTATTCTCCAACTTCCAGTTATGCTGAAGATTTGGGTTTTTTGTTTGTTTTGTTTTTGTATTTGTTGGCTGTATATATTTTGCTCAATGTGTGAAGTGTTTCAGATTTAGGTGGCTGTAATGACTACAATTACCCAGAATTCCAGGTCCATATTTTTTTATTATAATTTTCCCCCAGCTTTATTGAAAAATAAGACAATTACTTGCTCATATTTACATTGTACATTTCAATGAGTTTTTTCAATTATAGTTGGCATACAATAATATATTATAGTTTCAGTTGTACAGCCTGGAGATAAGAGCTCAAGTGATCACCCCACCAATACTAGTACCCCTCTTCCCCCTTACATATTTAACATTATTAACTATTTTCCTTATGCTACACTTTATATCTCCATGACTATTTTGTAACTATCCACTTGTACTTCTTAATTCCTTTGCCTTTTTTCATCATCTTCTCTGTATCTATGAGTTTGTTTCCATTTTTGTTGTTATTGTTGTTTATTTAGTCTTTTAGATTCCACATGAAATCATATGGAATTTATCTTTCTCTATCTGACTTACTTCATTCAGCACTATACCCTCTAGGACCATCAAGGCAATATCTTTCTCCATCCTCTTTCTTTTAGTGTGTGTGTGTGTGTGTGTGTGTGTGTGTGTGTGTGTGTGTCTTTTAATCTGAAGTGAGTCTCTTTAGGCAACATATGTAAGGGTCTTATTTTCTTATCCAGTCAGCCACTCTATCCTTTGGTTGGAGCACTTAATTCTTTTCCATTTGAGGTACTTTTTGATAGGAATGTAGTTATTACCATTCGTTATTTGTGTTTTTGATACATGATTTTTCTTCTTAAAGAAGTCCCTCCAACATTTCCTGTAATACTGGCTTGGTGTTGATAAATTCCTTTAGCTTATTTTTGTCTGGGAAGCTCTTTATTTGTCCTTCGACTCTAAACGATAGCTGTGCTGGATAAAGTATTCTTGGTTGTAGATCCTGGGTTTTCATCACATTGAATATTTTTGTAGATAATGAACTGCCTTTTTTTTTTTTTTTTTTCCTGCTTTTAAGATTCTCTCTTTGTATTTAACCTTTGGCATTTTAATTATGATGTGCCTTGGTGTGTGTGTCTTTGGGTTCCTCTTTCTTGGGACTATCTGAGTTTCTGGAGTTGTATGTCTATGTCTTTCACCAGGTTAGGGAAGTTTTCCATCATTATTTCTTCAAATAGCTTTTCAACTTCTTGTTCTCCCTCTGCTCCTTCAGGTACCCCTACATGGATGTTATATGGATGTTTTAACACTTAATTTTGTCCCAAAGGCTCCTTAAAATATTATTATATTCTTGGCTTCTTTTTTCTTGCCTTTCCGATCGGGTGTCTTTGGCTTCCCAATCCCCTAGATTGGTGATTCGATCTTCTTCATCCACTCTGTTAATTCCCTCTAATATATTCTTCGTCTCAGATAATGTATTCTTCATTTCTGACTGGTTCTCTTTTAGAATTTCCATTTCCATTTTTATGTTTTTTATCTCTTCGTTAAAGTTCTCCCTGAATTCATCTATACTTCCCCTAAATCCATTGAGCATCTTTATAACCAGTGTTTTGAACTCTGCATCTGTTAGATTGCTTGACTCCATTATATCTGGATCTCTGTTCTCTTCTCTCATATGGTATCTGTTTCTTTGTATTCCCATTCTGGCTGCCTTTCTGTGTCTGTTTCTGTGTAGTAAGCAAAGCTCCTAAGTCTCCTGGTCTTATTAGTGAGGCTTTGTGTAGTAGGTGTCCAGTGGCACAATCCTGAGAGGGGTTCAGCAGCAGCTCAATTTCATCCCCAGCCTGTGTCCCTCCAGGGCCACCTGTTTAGATTCAGCAGCCATCCACAAATACTGTACTTATAGTTGCCTCAAGAAGCCATGCCGGAAACCAAGGTCAACTGCCACCAGTGTGGGTCTTAGAGCTTGCTCAGCAAGTAGCACGAGACTCGTGGAGGACACAACTAGATGTGGCTTGGGTAGGATCGAGAGTTGGGGGAGGTGAGTTTCAGGGAATCCTTGGGCAGAGCAACCTCTATTTCCAGTTTGGTGATGTCTCAGTTATGGCAGCCCTGTGTCCGCACACAGGGAGCGGGAAGAGTTCAACAGAGGAGCAGTAGATACCACCAGCTCTTCTTCATGGTATCAAGCCTCATCTCCAGCACTTGCTCCAACAACCCACCCCCTCCAGCAGCCAACCAGGTGCTAATGCTCAGAGCAAGCTAGTCCATTACCTGAATGTCCGGTCACAGACATGGCCCCTTTAAGAGGTGTCTGCAGCTGCCATAGCCTCTGCCCCACTAAGCCACTTGGCACTGGGGTAGCCTCGTGTCTTTGTCTCCTCTTAAGTCCTGTTGCAGGGTGTTTTCTTATTTCTTTCTGCAGCTATAGAGCTTCTGTTTATCTAGACCCCAGGCAACTCTGTTTGCTGTTTCCTCCATGTTTCCATCACAACTTCGATGTGGTCGCAAGAGTACATGAACAAAATCACTATCATCTACGCCATTTTGTTCAGTCTCCCAGGTCTACATTTTTTAAACATTCTACAGAACATATTAATATTTCAACTTATTTGCAAAATGCCATGATGTAACTAGAATGTGTGGATTGCATAGCTTTACCTTTAGTGGTCACTGTTCTCTTAATCCAGTTTATTTAGTTTAATTGCAGGGGTTTTTTTTTTTTCTCTATCATATTTTCAAATGACACACATCAGTTCAGGAAGTCTCTGAAAGATGTATCTGTGGTAAATATAAAATTACTATTTGAGTAACTAATTTTCTTGATTTGTACCAATTAATTGTGTTTGTAAATATCTTCCTTAGCTTTAAAATTATCAAATATATCTTAAATGGAAATTCAGGTCCATGAAATTTTAAAACATGATATAGATTAAAATAAAGTAACTAATCAGTAACACCTGATTATGAGAATCCAGTGAAATATAGTTATAAGCAGTTGCTTCGACTAATTGAAATAAGCTTTTTGAGCATGATCGAGGAAAGTCATTCCTCCAGGTTCACAGCAAAGAGATCTGGTTGTAGTTGGTAGGTAAGGATAAGAAAGAAAACACGCCAGTGTTTGAAAATGGCAGAGTAGAAGACAGCTTGCAAAAGTAGGAAACAGGTGAGTGCAGAAAGTGCGTTCCTTCCAAAAAGGGGCAACCATGTCTGTATCCTCTGGAGGCTGTGAGTTCAGCCTTACAAAATCTTTGCCTTTTCGAAAGAGCCAAAAGTGAGGATTTGTATGAGATATCACCCATTTTTTAATATTTAAAAATATTTTTAATTTTGTGGTTTAGAATAAACAATGTCAGTAAGCCAGATTTGGTTATTACATCCCAAATACAATGGATACAATGAGGGAATAACAGGTGTTGTAGTGAGAAGTCATCTGCATCAGAAAAGCTGGTTTGGAGCCCAGGATCACTTCTCAGTTGTGTCAAATTGGGCAATTCACATAAAGTTAGTTAATAATAGTATTAATTTTAGTTCTCTTGACTATGCTAAAGTACAAAGAAACATACAGATCTACTCATTGTTACATTATAATTCTATTGAAATTATATATGAATGAATTTGCATCTTTGATTAAGCTATAAATTTTAAACTTAGAAAAATGAAATTTATAAAATACATAGTTCCTTAAGAATTTTATGATTCACTTATGACATTTAATTATAAACTTGCCAAGTATATCTAATTTCCTGTTATTTGAGAGGCTCTGTGTTGACCATTAGTAAAATCATTCATTCCTGTACCAGGTAGAGGCCAATGCTATCCTCTTGTCTTTCACATGCTAGAGGAAGATAAATTAGACATTCAACTCAATGCTTGTTCTTGTTGAAATGCTGACTTTGTTACAGTTTGTTTTGGTGAACACAAAAGCACACCTCCTATATTAGTAAACTGGTATCTCTGCTTAGTACTGTAAAGAAAAATTTCTCTGGGCAGAAATTCTGTTGTTTGCTGAGAACTAATGTTACACTAAAGATGCTTGCTACTTATGGGAATTTTATTTGTATTGTCTATAGTGTGTTTCATCCATCTGAAACAACCCATTGTGCTTTAAATTATTTTAATTATCATTAGGTTATGTTTTGTTTCTTTGACAGTTCTTTTACAAAAAATATACCCTATAGCATAAAATCCATTTAAATTGAGCTCTTTTGAGCTTTAAAATTAAGATGCTCTTCCCAACACCCCTCTTTGAAAACAAATAACTAATAAAATCTCATTAAATAACTTTCTCCTTATAATCACATTGACTTTTTGAAAAAAAAGAAAGTGGATATTTGTGTATTTTTGTGAGGTGTGAAAGTGCCATACCTACATTTTTCTCAGTGGGTGATCTTCAATTGAAATCGACATGCAATTACAAAGTGAATTAATGCAATTCTCTGGATAAATCACGCCAAATTATCTTCTGAGTCAGAGATCTTCAAATATCAGACAAAACTATGTTTTAAAAACTTGAATTATTTTAATAACCACCTCAAATCTCCAACTAAATTTATTTACAAACATCTCATATTATTAAATTGTCTTCGTGTCATTCTGTCATGTTCTGGGGGCACTGTGTTTCCTGTATATAATTCTAAGCCAATGTGCAGACTCTTCTTACCTCTTACTGAAGGATGTCCTCCTTGACTCATGTTTAGAATATTTTCATATAGTTGAGAATATTTCTCTTCATCAGTGATTATATTTTGCAAGGTGTATAACTTATATTTCGCAAAACTTTATTTCAGTATGTTAAAGTATGTAGTGTTTAAATGTGTGTTGGTCTAGATTAGTTTTTCTGTGACCTTGGCAAATTGCTTATTCTTTTGATTTTTTTTTTTTTTTTTTTGCTTTTCACAGATGCATTTTGTAGGAGTATTTTGAAGATGAATGTTTGCAAATCATTTTGAAATTGCCAAGCACTACATATAGTAAGTAATATATATTTTTATTTTTCCACTCAATTGCAGTCATGCTGAATGAATTTGGCAGACAGTCATAAAAGAACACATTTCTATTTACAGTTCTTGATATTTGTGAATGTTGAGGAAAAATGTATATAAAATATAAAAATTTGATGAGCTATTTGCTAGTCTGAATTAAGTTGTATAGTTTCAAGATTTCTAATGACTGATTTCTTGTTTTATGTACATAACTTGCACATAATATTTCTCACTTGATATTTAAGTAAGATTATTTTCCTCTGATTCATAAGTTGAGAAGAATGAAGAAAAAATTAATATTATTTTAGCCAGTGTTGATATGGAAGTTTTAAAAAGGAGTATTGAATTAAGTATCAAGATTTGCTGAGTATTAAGATTTGCTATATATCAGGCAATTTATATGTGGTGACTTTCATTTTTCCCAAAATATTTTAAGTTCATTTTTTAATTCCCATTTTATAAGTAAGAAAACTGAGACCCAAATAGTTTTAATACTTTGCTCAATATCTATTCAAAGTGATGAATCTTGGCTTTGAACATAAGACCTTTCAAAAAATTGCCTCCACCAAAATTTAGAAAAAATTAAACAACTTTTATTTTAGAGCCTGAATATTTTTGAGTTTAAACATATTATGATCATTTCTTTGGATTTTTGTTTTACTTGAACATTATCCTGAAAATGTTATAGCTTTTCTTTTTTTTTGTACTGTCCAACATGTCATTGCTTTCATTTCAAATGATGCTTTTCAATTTCTTTCTTGAACTGCTTTGAACTAGTAGGAAATAGGTGATATGTAGCTTCCTGAAAGGTTTATAAATCATCTAATTATTCTTTGATAAAAATGTTTTGAATTAGAGTTCTGAATTTTTCCAAGAACCCTTTTTCATTCATTAAAAACACAATTAAATGCCATTTTATTATTTTAGCATTGTAAGAGGTTATAGAAGCATAGATTCCTAACCTCCACGTGCTCAAATTCCTTGTCTGATGAAGGACAATTATAAAATAAAATTTCAAAAAATGTAGAATTAATTATGGCAGCATTGATGTTTGTACATTGTCTCCCAATATGACTTCGTCAGTGAAGTGTAGTATTTTAAAAATGCAGTGAAGTGTAGTATTTTAAAAATTCAGACTCTGGATTCAGACCTCCTAGCTTTAAGTCCTAAAAGTATTACTTACTAGCTGTGTAACTTTGAATAAAGTATTTAATGTTTCTTTGAAATAGATATAAGATTAAGAACTACTTCATTTGTGGCAAGTGAGATAATACATGTAAAGTATAACACAGTTCCATATACAGAGTATGTGGTCAATAAACGTTAGTGGTTTTTAAATTGGAAGTGATTTATTTAGCTATTTCAATGCAAGTGTGTTTATTAATGAGCATCATGAATTCATAATCATGTCGTATAAAGTACATAACAAAGGTATTCAGTGAATACTCTTCATTTACATGTTCAAAAGAAAACTAAACTTCAGCCTTCTTTGTCTACAGAGCAAGATGAGTTTAGTAGACACTTTTACTTCTTTGAACTTTGAGTGAAGAAACAAACCATTTTGTTAAACATCAAGTATATATACAGTATATAAAATTAGAATACATATATATCCTATTGTGTGTTGACTGTATGTAAGCTGAAAGTGTGTTGTGTGCTTTTTGGAGAAAAGAGGGGGCAGTTGTGAAATGCTTATGGAGTCTGAAATGCTTATTTTAATGGAGACAGGGCAGACTTATAAACAAAAAGTAAATAGTTGAAATGATTGTCAAATAATTTGATAAAACAACCTCATCCAATCTTTTATTAAATGATTTATAGAAATTGAGGGGTGTGGAGAAGAAAATATTTATTAGGTATTTACTCCCTCTTATGCACTTTACATTCAACATCTAGTTATTCTAAGCAATAATATCATGAAACAGATGTGTTATTATCTCCATTTTTCATATGAGGAAACTGTAGCACAGTTTAAATCTGTCACTCATGGGAGTGAAATTTGAGGTTGATCTAATTCTAAAGTTTCTTTCTTTAATCTCTTGACCTGGGTCTTGAGCACTGAAATTCTGTTGATCTTTCTTTTATTTGCAAAATAACATTGCCCTAACCTCAGATCATAACATATGAAGTCTTTAGTAAATAAGTAGTTGATGATTGAATTTCAATTAAAACAAATGAGTTGCTTTAAATAGAGTGTTGTTAAGATCACTCAGCAATCCCAAACTAAATTGCCTTGAAAAATGCTGTTCGAGTAAAGAAAATTTAAAAAATAAAAAAGGTAATTCCCTAAGGATGAAGACCTTATTTTATTTCGATTAGTCTTACTTCTCAGAATTTGAAGTGCCTGACCACACCTTTCTCTTGCAGGACTTCAGCTGCTTTATGCAAGTTTGGAGAAGTTTGGAATGTAGAGCTCGCATTGACTTACTCGTTCTCCTCTTTATTGCTCATTTTCAGGTGTGTTGGAGTTCAGGGGCATCCTCGACAATACTTTGGCCACACTTTCTCTTTTCACCCCTTTGTTGATCTTCATCTTCTCCCATTTCAGTCACTCATTGATCCTAGTCTCTTTCCACATCACTTCTTGAAACAAATCATCAGCAACATTTTACCTGAGGGATATTTTCAAACTTACTATAAAATATTATTGCTCTACAAATGAATGGGTCAAGTCTTTTGCATTCCTACACTACTCTTTGTTTTGAGAGTTCAGGATTCATAGAATGCTTATATTTTCCATTTCCAGGTTTGGTTTCTAAGAGACAAAGCTAGTGATTACATTTAGTAATCCTACTTCATTTAACATGATCAATATTTATCGCATGCTCCTGCAATATGAGGGGCACTTTGCTATTAAGTATTGGAGTATGTGGGGGAAAGATGAAAATGACTCTCAAGAAAATACTGTCTTCAATTTGAGGAAATAGGATATGCCCAGGCATAAATAAAACAGATGATATATTATTAGGTTATGGTACCATGAGAGTGGTCTAAATTAATAAAAGTAACCAAATTAATAAAGCCACTTCAAATAATTTGAAAATGTTATATATGTAAAAAAAAATAAAGAAGAGATTTAGGAAAGGAAATATAATTCCGAACTGCATCTTCATCATGGAGATTGCATTTGCACTAGATCTTGATGCGGGTGGAAATGTTAACAGAGCAGTCAGAGAAACAGCATCCCCATGTTTAGAGGTAAAGAGGCATACTTCACATTCAGCGAATGGTAAAATAATTAGTTTGGCAACAACACACGTTTCTTGTGTTGGACTAAAACCAGATAACACTGGAAAATAAGGCTGGAGCTAGGTTGTAGGAAAAACTGATAATCAGAGTAAGAAATTAGAATTTAAATTTAACTGGTAGACAATTGAACAAAGAGAATATTTTTTGAGGGAAAATCCTGTGAACAAAAAGTTTCTTATTTGAATATTAGTCTGGTGTTGTCTTCACAGAGTATTTCAGCTGGAAGACTTGTAGACAAGAAGAACAATTTTAGGAAAAAATAACATTGTAAGAATGAAGGGATGAGGGCAAGACCTGAGGCCATAGCAATGGGAATGGAGAGGAAGGTACAGACGCTGGTGAAATTTTGAAGAAAATAGAGTCAGGGAATAATAATAATAACACTTGAATGGCATTTACTATGTACTAGGCTCTGTTTTAAATGATTATATTTATTATTTAATTTAACCTTTTAATAATTCTGAGAAGTAGACACTAATGTTATCTCCATTTTTCCAAGAGAAAACTGAGGTACCTTTTAGCTAAGTAGATTGTCCCAGGTCAAATAACTAGAAAATAGCAGGGCTCATAGCTGAGTCCATTCAGTTAAGCTCCAGCATCTCTGAAGTTAACCACTGTACATCATTTCTCTAACGACAAAACAAAACAAAACAAAACAAAACAAAACAACAACAACAAAACTCATAGCTTTCCAAGTTGACCGAACTGGAAAATGTTGTTACCAATAATCAGAAAAACAGATTTTTTTCAGAGTTTACCCCTTTACTAAGTTGTCATTTAAGTCTTGTTTAAATTAAGCCTTTACTCTTTCTATAAGTTAAGTCTTAGCACAGGGAGAAAAATCTGACTTTAGGGAGAAATATCCCTTCTGGTTAGTGAATAATCTCTTGTATACTTTCACTTCTATGCTGAGCAACAGGGACAGAGTAATTTGTGATATTGCTCAATTGTAAATTCAAATAGTAAATGTGTAAACTTAATATGAATTGTCTTCTTTCCTTAGCAGAACTTAAAATGAAACAAGGATACAGTGCTAAATTAAAGATTTAATATCTTGGGTCCATGAAAGACCAATTATTTTAGACTTAGTTTACCTATCATACTAAACAATAATTTTGACAAGGGAAAAAGCTAGCATCCAGCATAGAGAGTATTTCTCTCTCTCTCTTTTTTTTTTATATTGGAGAAGTAGCATACTGTACTGCTTGAGGGCATGGGCTCCAGAACCATGCTAATGCATGAGTTCAGATCTGAAAACGCGGCCTCGTTAGCTATGTGACTTTGTGTCAGTTATGTAAGCTCTCTGTGCCTCAGTCTCTTCACCTTTGAAATGCAATAATACAATGTCTCTCAATATTGTAAAGATTAAATGAGGTAAAGCACTTACAGTGGCTTCTAACACACAGTAAAATCTCAATAGATGTGAGTTATGGTCATTGAACTTTATCTCATATATCATAATATTTAATTTATAAAATTTAATAACAGAATTATTGCCATTTTATGCTTTTTATTGTGATTTTTCACACATGAAGGGAACAAAACAATGGTTTTTACAAGCAAATACCCATGTAGCCATCATACTACTCAAGAAACAAAACATTTTCTGCATCCCAAAAACCTGTTTTTCTGCCTCCCAAACATTGTACCTGTTCTGTCAGTTCCCTGACAATAATATTTTCATGACTTCTGTAGAAATCGCTTTCTCGGTTTTCATTATAGTTTTAACATTTCCTCCT